GGTGCGTGGGAGCCTGGGGTGCGGGAGGGGGGGTGCGTGGGAGCTTGGGGTGCTCAGAGCCATTGTCCCGACCTGCGGCCCCAGTATGTGCTGGAAGCCGCTTTGAGCCGGGGTGCAGCGGCGCCTTTCCTTCCACAGGCTGCACGCGGGGTGCAAAAGCTCCTCCCACGGTCCCCCAAGTACGCGTGATCTTGCCAGGCTGGGGCTGATTCCCCCATTTGCTTGGGGGAGTCATGGGGGTGAATTCACACCCTTTTTGGTCCACCTTTACAAAAAAGCCACACACACACACACACACACACACACACACACACACACAGAAATGCTTAAGTATGTACCAGCTCCATCACCTCTGTGGGTAGGGGAACACGGGGTGGGGAGCCATTGTGGGCAGGCCACATATCCTGATTTTATACTGAGAGGAACGAGTCCTGTTGAAGGCTGCCCATGAAAGCTGATGCCCAAATACATGTATTAGTGCCACAGGACTCCTTGTTTTTGCTGACAAGGAGTCATGGCTATTCTTGAAACCTGATTTTTATAGGGGACCGTCCCGATATTCTTCCATTAACACCTGTTCCACCCTCACCCTCTTCATCCTAATTTGCTGTCTGCTCACCCTAAGTGAGGGCAAGGAGAGGGGACCACTGTATTGAGTTTGATTTTTAAACATTTCTGTTTGAGAAGTTCATTGTGATTTAGGGATGTTGATGGTTAACTAGTTAATTTGTAAGTACAGGCAGTCCCTGGGTTACGTACAAGATAGGGACTGTAGGTTCTTAAGTTGAATTTGTATGTAAGTCGGAACTGGTACATATTGTAGGGGTAACTCTAGCCAAACATTTCTCCAGAGCTCAGTTTTATTCTCCCACACCTCACTTCCCTCAGTCCTTTATTCTCAAGCTGAGGTGTCTGCTGAGAAAAGCCGCTCCGTGTCTCCCTGGTCTGCTGGGGGGGGGCGCTAGCTTCGCATCTCCCTGGTCTGCTGTGGGGAAGCAGCTAGTGCAGGGTTGCCTCACCCCGTTCGTAAGTAGGGATCCGATGTAAGTCGGATCCATGTAACCCTGGGACTGCCTGTATATGCTTTACTGGCATGCTTACCAGCTAACTGGAGTCTCCTCCCCTGCCATGGTGGCCCAGCCAGCAGGACCGTGGCATGCCGGCGGAGCTGGAGCTGCCCCTCGCCATTCACAGCTAGTTGGTTGACCAGTTAAACAAATCATTTAACCAGTTAACTGTTGTGCATGGTTTTTACATCTCTGCTATGATTGGTGCCGTGGTTTGTTCTGTAGGCTAATTAAAATGTGACTGAAAATGGTATATTCACCTCTGTGACTTAATTGTTTTGTGTCCCCCAAAATCTTAACAAAACATATGTTAAAAAAAATATAATCAAGGCAACATGTTATACTCTTGGTAGCTGAGCTAAACCATTAATACCTAGGGTTGCCACCCCTCCAGGATTGGCCTGGATCTCCTGGACTCGGGATGCCTCTCCCAGTGACTATTAAAAATAATTCTGGAAATATTAATAGGATATTTTAAACAAACAACATTGTCATGTTGGAAAAAATAATTTCCTGTAATACCTTCAGTCAGAATTGGCAACACTACTGATCCCCAAATCAGCTTGACACATGCAAGGGGCCAGGGGTTTGAATATGGGGAAATATTGTAACAATATACAATCAAAATAAGAATGTATTTCTGTTGTAAAGACTATCCATAAAGATTCTAAGGATGCTGCCAATTTAGAAATTAATTGATGCTGATGTCACAGTCAGTTTTTGTGGGTTTGGTTTGCAGATGTACTCAGAAGCTTACGTAAATGGTTGCATGTTTTTGTTCTATTAAATTCGAAGGAGATCACTCTTTTAAAAAAAGCTGTTGGTACTCCAATGTGATCAGCAATTCCAGGCCCTCCAGCTAATGGATAGTTCACCAGTTAAAACAGTTCATCTTATATGTGATTGGGTCCGAGTGTAATAGTTAATTTAGTCATGACTCTTTGTTTTTAAGGCAACTTGGATTAATTAGAAAAAGTTCCATTACTTCCTCAAATGGCAAGAATCAGACTAAAGTCAGATCAAGTGAGTGGTATGTTTCCATCTTAATGTATATATTTTAATTTTATTAATTCTGATACAGATTCACAAGATGTTTTTATATGTTGCAGGGCAGTTGTTTGACTATTTAATAATTATTGACTTTGAGTCTACATGCTGGAAAGATGGTAAACGCCATTGTACCCAGGAAATAAGTAAGTGGATACATACGAATGTTAGATAGCAGTTGCGTCTTAAAAAAGGGTTGTCTTATTCAGTAAGAAAGTAAAATAGGAATAACTTAAGTGGAGAATTTTTCTCTTAAAAAGGAAAATAGGAAAGAAGTGTCATTATTCACTTTATTAAATGTCAGAAACTGTATATCCAAACGATCAGCCTTTTGCAACGTGAAATATAGATTATTAAATTTCAAGCTATTTCTTGTAACGCTAATATGTATAACCATTTGCATTAAAATTAGATAGTGCCACCAGTTACAATGAGATTAGTTTGCAAATTAAATAATTTAATCTTAATTTCTACAAATAAATTTTCTTTGATAAAATAGCTTAATTTAACATGCTGCTAGAATACATTTTGTCTGCTCTGATATAACGTTCATATTCTGATATATTTAAATAAGTATCATTCAGAATTATCTGAATAATCTGGACAAGGTGCTATGTTTTGCCGTATGTATGGTATCTGTAAAAACAACTATTCCTGTAGCACATTAGGCTGTGTCTACACAGCAGCATTATTTCAGAATAACTGACGTTATTCCAAAATAACATAGTGCATGTCTATACTGCAAGTCATTATTTCAAAATAATGTCGACCTGGAGGTTTTCTTACTCCGACTCAGGGTAGCCCTCATTTCACAAGGAGTAAGGGAATTTGAAGGAAGAGTTTTCTTCCTTGAACTTTCTACTGTGTAGACAGTGCCAAAAGCCGAGTTAAGCTATTTCGACTTCAGCTACGTAATTGACATAGCTGAAGTTACATAGTTTAATTTGATTGTAGTCTTGCTGTGTAGATGTGCTGTTTGAGACTAACAAAAATACATAGAATCATGAGCTTTTTGTGGATGAGCTGGATATGTGTGTGTGGGTGGGTGTAGTACGGGTCAGTTGTAGTACCTATGTATCTCTTTTTGCTGAACAGTGTGTAATTTAAATCCTAGTGTAAAGCAACTTGAATTATTTATACAAATAACCTTTTTTTAATCTAGTTGAATTTCCAGCAGTTTTGTTAAACACTTCAACTGGAGAGATTGAATCTGAATTCCATATGTTCGTCCAACCTCAGGAACATCCAATTCTCTCTGAATTTTGTACTGAACTAACTGGAATAAAGCAGGTACAGTTTTTATTCTATCTATTGCAGGAGACTTATAATTTAGTTAATTTTTAGGATCTTAATTTTGGAAACAGCCCTATTTATAGCTATGTAGGAAGATAATTTTTCTGATAGTGTAAAAGTGCATATGTTGCTTACACATGAGATGGGCATACTAACAGATATTTACATGTACCTTTTCTTCTATTTTATCAAGAATCAAGTTGATGAAGGAGTTCCTCTAAATATTTGCTTATCACAGTTTTCTAAATGGATTCAAAAGATACAAAAGGAGAAGAAAATTATTTTCAAATCAGATGTTTCAAGCCATTCTATTTCTGAAGCAAAACCAAGTACCTTTGTTACTTGGTCAGGTAAGGAACAGTTTTGTTTTGTTTTCTGGAATGTAGTATTCATAAAAATGAATACCTGATGGTTCAGGTTAGACTCTGGCACAGCATAGGCATGTATAAATGCAAATGTTTCTACCAAGCTCTGCAGTGTGTCATTGTCTTGCCATCAAGCCTCACTCCTTGCTGTGTCTGTACAAGGTCTCTGGGAGCATATATTTCCGATCTGAACCACACTGTGTGTTTATGATAACAATACATATTGTTGGGACTACACCAAACATACAAAATCCATTTCGTTTGTGATTATTTACCCTGAGTTGCTCCTTGTGCCTTTAAGACAGCTGTCTAGGACAGGGTGGGCAATAATTTTTATGGGGGGCAGGGGGAGCATTTAATGAATTTTGGTACACAGGAGCCAGGGGGTGGGGCTGGCGAATAACTCCCCCCCCAGAGTTATCTGAGGTCAGAGGCTTTGAATTAAAAACACAGCAAACAGCTCACTGCTACCACATTGCCTAGCACCTGCCTGAGGTTGCTGCAGCTATTTAAAGGACTCCCTGTTGCAGTATTACCACAGCAGGGGCCAGAGCCATGAGCCCTGCTGCCAGGCAACTTGGTAGTGGCAGGGCTATGAATCATGAGCCCTTTAAATTGTTGCTATTTAAAGGGCTTGCAGCTCCTGGTCTCGCTGCTACCATGTTGCATGGGAGCCACCTGGGTAGTTACAGCTATTTAAAGGGCTCATGGCTCTGGTCTGTGCCACGGTAGCTACCACAGCAGGGGCCAGAGCCATGAGCCCTGCTGCCAGGCAACTTGGTAGTGGCAGGGCTATGAATCATGAGCCCTTTAAATTGTTGCTATTTAAAGGGCTTGCAGCTCCTGGTCTCGCTGCTACCATGTTGCATGGGAGCCACCTGGGTAGTTACAGCTATTTAAAGGGCTCATGGCTCTGGTCTGTGCCACGGTAGCGCCA